CCAGGGCCCAGCCACGTGTGCCGCAGACCACCCCCCGCCGCACGGCCCTGCTTCTCGAGGCCCCACTGCTGCTCAGCCCACTGGCCCCGGGCAGTCTGCAGTGCCGAGGGGAAGGGTCTTACGGGGAAGCCTAGACACCCAGGAAGGAGGGAGCTGCAGCATGAATAACCATGCGAAAGGGCAAGGGCCGTGGACGGACCAGAAGGCAAGGAGGCAGAGAAGCCCCAGCTGCCCGCCAGGCTGATGCAGGGGGCTTCCAGAGGGTTCTGTGCAGGGCAGGCCACCCCAGGCTTAGGGCCAGGCAGCAGCGTGCCCGCCCTTCTCCACGTCTGATGTCCTCGTCCACTGAGGGGAGAGCTGTGCGGGCCAGTCCATGTGGAGCCCCAGGGGGACCAACGGCTCCTGTCCCTGTGCCGTCCCGTCCCTCACTTCTCTTGGAGAAAGCCATGACGAGGACCTGGGTCTGCCCAGGGTCACAGCACCCACGAGAAACACCAACCACAAAGGCAACCTGCCCAGCTCTCAGGTCGAGACTTTCAACCCAGACCCTAACGGAAGAGCCCAGGGCACCGCTACCTTGAGGACGGGGCTCAGGAAGACGTCCTTCTTGTGCCGGCAGACCTTGACGAGCACCAGGAAGGCCAGCACGCGCAGCGTCTCCTCGCCCGTGCCCCACAGGACCACCATCCTCTGTGAAGGCGAGTTGTCACCGCCTGCCCCGGAAGAGAAAATTCAACTTACGTAAAAGAAGAGATTCTATTTTTTCAAAAGGGAGAGAAATTATTCAGGAAGCAGGAAAGGATTTCCCGCCCACGCCCGGCCAGAGACAGCCCTTCCCACAGCGCCCCCCGGGGAACTCCCCGAGTTAGGGCTCAATCGGGGAGGAGCGAAACCAGAGCACATCACCCCTCCTGAAGGCCGTACGGTGAAAACTGACCTCTGCTGTCCAGCGCATGTATGCACGTGGGTGCCAGAAAGCTGCCCCCTGCCCCCCAGGGGAGCCCGTCCTCACGTGACTGGGCTGTGCTGCCTCGAGTGTGCCCCCAAGACAGAACCCCACAGGGTGGCACAGATGCCCCCTGCACTCCAGCCGGCAGCAGCCAACACACACCTTGAGCAGCATGCGGCACTGCTTGGGGAAGGTCAGGTAGCAGGGCACGAAGCTGCTGATGTGCTGGAGGACGGCCGCCGCTACTGTCGCCTCTGCCACACAGGCCACCAGCTGGGGAAGCAGGAGAGGTCAGCGAGGCCCGGGATACGAGGAAGGACTGGACCGGTGCATATGCAGCCAGGCCCCCCGCGACCCGGCAGGCCCCGCCCCCAGGGCTGCACCTGTGTGACGGAGCTCAGGTAAGCCTTGATGTCTAGCCGGAGCTTCCCCCACAGCGGGCTGCTGGATGGCTGCCGCACCCTGCAGGGAGACAGCACCCTCCAGCTCAGACACGAGGCCACAAGGAGGCCACCAGGAGGCCACCAGGAGGCAGGGGTGTGCCCCAAGCCACGTCCCATCCAGGACACAGTGTCCAGGACACAAGGGCACATGGGCCCTGTGGTGAGACACCCCACCCCCCATCCTTCCCACGAGTTCAGGGACCTTTCCAGCTGGACAGACGCGAGAGACACACCAGGACTCTCTCAAAGGTGGCCCACAGCTACGCCTAAGGAGGGGTACCACCAAGCCCCAAGCCCCCCACAGGCCACCCCACCCGGCCAGAGGGCTGACCATCCTTCCTGTCTGAGCCCAGGGCCAGCCACTTCCCCCAGAGCCCCCAGACAGAACCCTGGCCTCCAGCTCCCCACACCTCTCAGGCACCCACACTCTGCAGTCCCAGGTCTGACCCAGGCATCGCCAACCAGCACAACAAGCTGTCTTCCTTTGGGCCACATACAGTTTTTGTCGTTGTTGTTACCCTTGCGGCTTACGGGATCTCAGTTCCCCAACCAGGGATTGAATCCGGGCCACGGCAGTGTAAGCACCGAATCCTAATCACTAGACCACCGGGGAACTCCCTGGGCCACATACGCTTTACAGAGACCAAGTCATTTTCACCTTAATTTCAGCAGCAGTGGCTGATACTTAGGAAGTTCCTCAGAAGCATCACCTCTCAACACTTGCAGAACTCAGCACGTTAAGTGTCTGTTAACTCTGCTAACGTGTGCAAAAGAACCAAGGACAGGGGCCCCTGATAGCCTCCCCATGGGCTGAGGCCAGCTGCTGGGCACCTGGAGCCACGACCCAGGCGGCGCTGCCGCTTCCTCCCAAGCCCGCTGTCCTCCATGGTGACCGCTCTCCCCACTGCAGCGGCCCCCACGGGAGCCCGCACCCAGCCAACGCCAGCACCACTAAGCGCTGCCTCTTTGCTGCCCACTCACTCACTGCCTGTGGCCCTCCACTCTCGCCAGCAGCCAGCTGCCCTGCCCCCTCAGGCAGCCACCCCCACGTGGCCGCATCAGTCCTGCCCCGACCACGCCCCCAGGCCCAGGTACTCCCATCCCCGAGTCCCAGCCTCTTCCTCCTCCCCCACCAGGTGGTCCCGGCGGACCTCTCCCTGGAGCTTCCTTCTCCCTCTGAGCAGCGTCAGGGTGAGTGTGACCCTCCAAGCCTTTCCTGCCTCCAGGTCACGTGACCGCAGGCTCCTGTGAGCCCCAGTGGAGCCCACAAGCTGCCAAATACCGGCTGCTGCTCTGCCCCCTCTGGAAACCTTCCAGGGCCTTCTCTGCTCAACTGACCTCTCACATGGAAGTCAAGGTCCTCGAGCCAGCATGGATGGGGCCCCTGCCTAGACACACACACTCGCACCAGCCAAAGAGCAAGGAGAGCAGACTAGACTTGATTTGTCCAAAGAGAAAACAGAGAATCCTGACCAGGGAAGACGGGGGAGCAAAGCCAAGCACACACTCTGTGGCCCTTGAGGAATTCTGAGCAGGAAGGAGGAAGGACAGGGCTACCCCCACAGGGCCCTGAGTGCCCAGCCTCTCCCAAGAGCCCTGCAAAGAGCCTGGCTCTGTCCTCCACATCCCTCTGTGCCAGCTGGGTCTCGAGGGGGCCCCTAGGTCCCAGAGCCCCTGCCTTCCCCAGTGCAGGGCCCGGACCATGCCTCCCCATGCCATCCTCCTCCCTCTTACCTGCTACTGTCCTTTGGGGCTTTTCTAAACAGCAGCTCCTGGAGACAGCCAAAGAGATCTCTGATGCAGAAAGTGACCAGAGCGTTGAACACTGCAATGAGGGGACCAGAGATGCCACTCTCAGGACAGAAAATGGAACACAGAGACTGTATCCCTGGCCCCCTCACCCCAGCTCACCAGCACTGTCTGTGACCTGGAATTTGCTGGTCTCAGTGCCTTCCTGTTCTCCTTGGGTGGTGGCCACGGCTGCTCGAAACGCCTGCACAACTTCGTGGAACAGCTTTGGAGTAAGGTGCTGCTAAAAGGGCAGAAGGACCCAGAATGTTGGAGGAGCAGTCAGCTGTGCTCGGCAAAGCGAGAGGCAGCTAGCTGGGGCTCCAGGAACCTGCTCTATGAGAGGAAGGCATCCTCGGCCACATCCTCAGACCAAGAGCAGAGGTGGGAGCAGCGTTGCGGAGCCATGTGCAAGGAACAAAAGGAGTCCAGAATCCTCCTGGAAGGGCCGTGAGGGGGGGCTGAGGAGCCTGGATCTAAACAATGGCCAGCTCCAAGTGGGATCTGGAGTCCTCGCTTTCCGTCCTTTCTTTTCCCTGCAGAAACCCCTGCAAGGCCCTCAGAAGGGCCCTGGCTCCACCAGCGAGCAAAGGCACAGAGACTATGTCCTGCCCACAGTGAACTTCAGAGACCCCTGGAGAAAAACAGAGAGGAGAGGAGAAGGCAGAGGCCCTGGCCTCTGAACGCAGGAGAGAGGATGCAGCCCTGAGCCCTCCTGGCATGCAGGGGAAACTGCGAGATTCTCCCGTGCTGAACGGGATCAGAGTGGGCTCCTCCCACCTGCACCGCCCCAGGTAAGTGAAAGAAAGCAGGGGGGCGGGAGCTGGGGCGGGGTCAGCGGGCCAGCCCAGGCCACTTCTCACCTTCGCCGCCTGCGTCCATCTCTCAACCGTGGCGAGCGTCACAGAGGCAGAGCCCCTCCTCCTCCCCGTAGGCCCTCTGGGGGCCCCGTCCTCCTCATCTTCCTCCTCGCTCGCCTCCTGCACCAGACACAGAGGGCCCCCCCGGACCAGATGCAGAGGCCACAAACACGCCCCCGCCCCCACCCAGCTGTGCACAGGCTCTCACCTCCAGCGCGTCTGGCAGGGAGTGGAGCTGCTCCTCCTCGTCCTCAGAGCTGTCCGAATCACTGAAGTTC